TAAAATGAGTGACGACACTATACAACAGGCAATAAAGAAAGGTAATTATATAGAGAATGAACGTTGGATAAATTCATTAACTTGTTTTTACAGTGATACAATCATGAATGAAAAACCCGCAGCAGATTAACCAGAGACAAAATTTTTTGAAATCATAGGTAGGGAAAACGTCAGTGAAACTGGCGCGACAATTACGGACATGGAAGCAGTATTCAAGCAGTTTAATATTCAAGTTAGAATTTTCAATTTTGTAAATGAAGTTATTTATAAATATGAACCAGAAAAAAGAAACCACCATATAAAAACCTTTTACGCAATGGTGAAGAATAACCATATTTACACATCAAACTACGATTTAAGTAAGATACAACAGAAGCAATTAATAACAAAACTACCCACTATAAAGGCACACACTGATTATTATATAAATGAAAGAGAAGAACCGCCGCAATACAAAATGATTAAATGTATAGATGATATACTTAAAATTAAAACTGATGATAAAACAAAGGAAATATATTTAGTGCCTGAAAATAATAATTTGGCAGAATTATTTTTCCAGTTGTTGAATATTGGATATGAACCCAGAATTAAATACACATGTATTATTGATGAAATAAGATTAAGATTGAACAAGATAACATATATCATAAAAACTCAAAATTTAATTAAATCTTCTGGTGATGGATGGATTGCAGTTAGCAATGAAACTACATACAACAATATGAACAAAGCAATGTTTAATTTCAATAAATCCTTATTCATGTCATCACATAAATCCTTTTATAATGACATTGATATTAAAATATTAAATGAAACGAGAACTATAGTACCGTCAGGGTTATTATTGAGTAATATTAATTTAGTTAATAAAACTATTTTTAATGAAAATAAAGCATTTACTGACGGGTTTTTAAATATTAGCGAAATACCACTATTCAACCAGTTTGACCATTGGAAGAAATACAATGATGCAATTAAAATATATGAACTTCATGAATTAACTTGATATTATGTTGAAACTATATATACAAATATAAGACCAATAAAAACAACAATGGACAGCATTAAGGAACTAATAGAGAAAAGTCATCGCACCAAGCAGATGATATGTTCTATGGCATATAGTCAAGGTATTGACGTTGCTACTTATATAGAATTTCGTAAAACACATGATTTACTTTTATTTGTAAATCCCGATGAATTAAAACAAGCAATTAAAGACATTGTAATAAGTGGTAATCACAACTTATTTCTTAACAAAAAATATAATCTAGTATATGGAAGTTTTTGAAGGAATTCATCAATGAGAATAAGACACACACAATCCATATTTTATATTATAAACAACCTTCATTTATTCATAAGGTTGAAGATACAAATATTATTAATGAACTTTTACAAACAAATATAGATGAACGTGACGAAGCATTAGATAAACTAATTAAAAAGTTAATAGCAAATGTAAGTTTTGGATTTTTAGAAAAGGGAGGTGCTACAGCACATCAAAGTAATTTATTTAAAAACATTGATGAAGCAGTTCATTATCAAACAGAATACGGATGTAAAATTAATAAGCTATCGCATATTGTAAGCGAATATCCCGAAACGGTAACCGAATATGACGACGAAGGAGGTGCAACTACAACATATTATGGAGTTGATGAGGATGAATGGGATGAAAGACTTTTAAGTCACTAATAACTAATAATATTCATGTATATAGTGTAAAAACAGATGCTTTCGTAATTGATACATGCAATGTAAAAAAGCAAAGCAATAATTATAATTTCATAATGATATAGGAGGTTGGAAAGTTTCAAAGCAGAGAGATGAAATTAGTTTACCTACAGTAAAATTTAACGTTGTAAATAATAAACTAAGAAAAATACCAGTTTATGAAAGTAAAACTATTGATATTGTAGATGAATATGACACTGACAACATTATAGAGATTGTTAAACAGAATAACCCTATTATGATTAAAGGCGAACTACCAGGCACAGGGAAATCATATATATGTCAAAAAATGGTTGATGAAAATTATAAGGTAATTTGTATTTGTCTTACTAATAAATTATTACAGGCATTTGAAGGTGAAGCAATGACTATAAATAAGTTGTTTGGAATAAACTACGGCGATGCAAAATTAGAACCATTTGATTTTACAGATGTTGATGTGATAGTATTTGATGAAATCTATTTTAGTAATTTGAATGCATATTGGGGAATAAAACAATTTGTAGAGCAAAATAAGCACAACCAAATTATAATAGCAACAGGAGACACCAAGCAATTAAAACCAGTTCAAGAGATAACAAATACTCGAGACTTTGAATTATACACCGATAATATGAGAACATTTTTGAATATAATACTTTGTTAAAAGAATGTAAGCGACTTAACACACAGGAAGATAAAGATAAACTAAGAAACATTAAAATTGATATTTTTATTAATTTACCGATTAAAACGATTATTGAAAAATATTTTGAATACACCACAGACATAAGTAGTTCCAAAAACAACAGCATTTTTGAATACAACTTGTAAAAATGTATCAAATGAAATTAGAAAATTAGAAAGTAGAAAAGATGAATATGAAGTAGGAGAATTTTTAATTTGTAGAGAATATACTAAAACTAAAACATCAGTTTTTAATGTAAATGTCAATTATAAAATGGTTCATATTGGAAGTGATGGAATATTTACATGAAAAATGTCAAAACCGAAGTTTTACAATCAATAGAAGTTGCTAAAATAAGAAGCAATTGTATATTTGCTTCTTGCTCTACATGTCATTCTGCCCAAGGTAGTAGCATTGATGGTACCATAACAATTTTTGATTATAACCTTTTTTTGGTAAAGAATTATCAAGAATGGATATGGACAGCAATTACAAGGTGTAGAGATTTAAACAAAGTCAAATTTTATAAATAGACAAAAGATGTTGATGATGTATTTAATCAAAAAGGTATTATGAGTTTTTTTGAAAGGAAAATTTTGAATTACAAGGAACAAGACAGGAAAGCAAAAAGAAGCATACCTAGAGAAGGTTATGTAAATACTCAATGGTTTTTAGACAATATAAATAATCAATGTAATTACTGCGGTTGCGGTTTTACTATTGATATGGAAAATGGTAATATAATGACTAATCTAACAGCACAACGAAAGATAATGAATTAACACATACAATAGAAAATATCATCCCATTTTGTAAATTATGTAATTGTAGTTGTAAACGATGATAATGAATTTTAAAATGAGTTTAATTTATTTTTTGTTAAACATATAGAAAGTTTACTGTAAAAAGCTAAAAATATGTTTATATTTTTTTGAAAAAACTTGTAAAAAGTATTTAAAGAAATATTTTATAAAACTATTATATAGTGTGATGAGTGATACAGTCCGTGATGATATTGATGCTAAAAATAGATTGAAAACAAGTTTATGAGTTATGAATGTAAAGACTGTGAGATTCTAAAATTACCAATTGAACGGGGCTTTACAAATGGCGTTTGTAATAATATTTGTCAATACATGACATGCAATAATTGCATTAGAATTAATAAAAATGATGATATGAATAACAAAGATATTGATATTAGAAATAATGAAACTCTGGATGATGATTTAGAAATATTTGTGTTTATTGAAATGAATAGTTTCTTTTCTATAGAAGGGCTTGGTAATTTATTATATGAGGGCGATGATGAAGGAAATGATAATGATTTTATTTTTAAATATTATAGTATGGTAAAATGATTATACAATATGTGTTTTAATATTAAACGTTTAAAATATGATGTATTGATTGATAATGACTTTGATTTTTTAAATGAGTTTTTAAATTATGAGTATAGAATTGACGAAGTAAGATATACAATAACACAGGCAATTAGAACAATGGGGTTGTTTAGAACAAAAATAGGAAATAACATTTATAATGAAACAACGAGTGATAAAATAAGGAAAAGAATTAAAGAAGAATGGTGTCCCCACAAAAACGAATAAACCAGACCTTGCCCATAATATGTCTAGAAAATTTGTGATAAATTTTATTGTAAAATAATTTATCATATTTTTTGGAATAATATTGTTGAAGATTTTGTAAAATTATATTTTGTAAAATTATATTTTTGAAAATTTATATTCTTGGACAATTTGTTTTTTAAAAGTTTGTACTTTCTTTATTGTTTAATTTTTTTAATTTTAAAATATGGATGAACTTAAAAGGAAATTACCTGCTTTGAAATGTTGGTTTTTGAAAATGTGCTGTTTTGGGGCGCTGTTTTAAAATGTTGCTAAAAGTGTGGGGGGGGGTCCTAGGATTTTTTAATAGAAAAAAGACGGGCAAGGTCAACGCTAACTCCAACGGCCCCAGTTGTCATCGTTCTGAATTGGGAGCGCGGAGGTCCCAAAGCTTGGTTGCGAGTCAGCTCTGCTGAAATAACTGAACTGGGACTTGCTGCAAATTGCCACACAGTCCAAACGTGCGGCTGCCTCTTTGACGGTTCAACGCCTGTCTGCAGCCGGCGAATGCACCAAGGGATGCAACCTAGTAAGGTTGTTTTCGTGGGATGTGTTGGCACTTTGTGCCTTATGGTGGACCGTTTCCAAGAACCCCAACAGCAACACGTCATCCTGGTTCTTGGTGGAGGGGGAAGTGCCAGAAACCCAATGTTTCCAGTCATCCGACCAAGCTTGACAAACCTTGGCGAAAAAAACTGAACGAGTACTGGCCTGGCTCGTAGTAGGCACAGGCCCGGTCATGTGCTGGACACTTGGTTGAACCACGGAACCCGAAGGGAAAGAGTGGTTAGCACTTGTCATCCCTTCTTGCAGCGCGATTTGCTGCATGAGTTGCCGGTAGACATCAAAAAGCGCAACAGTATCCGGCTGAGGGGGCCCAGAGCTTTTCGCCCGGAGGGGATTAGGATTCAGGGGGCGGGTCTCATTGTCAGAGCCCTTTAAGACCGAACTCAGTGTTGGTACAGGCGGGGGCGGCTTTGCGCCTCTTCTGCTGCAGTCTTGCGAATTTGGAGCCGGAGGTGGGTAACTGGGAGAGGCCTTGGCCGGAAACATCAAGCGCTGAGTGAGAGTAAGACGCTGGCGCGGGTGTTGGTGCCATGCAGGAATACGCCTCTGCGCTGCCACGCTGTGCAGGCACGGCGTAATAGGAGGACAGGCACTCTGTACAAACGGAGTACCGCTAGCCATATTTGCAACAGGGGCTCGCATGGACGAACATGGTGGAGACATTACGGGTGGACGCGCACAAGGTCCAACGCTTGGGGCCATCATAGCCGGATGCGAAAAGAAGCACCCTGGGGGTGGCTCCAATGGTGTTGCAGGCACACTGGGCCTGGCTCGTCGATCGTCTCTCCTTTTTGGGGTCCTAGAAAGCGAGCGGCGTCGCCGTCTTTGACGGCTTGGGGGAACGGTCGGATCGCTTGGATCGTATCTTCCGCGAGGATTCTTTCCCCACGTGGGTGCTGGGTTCAGGCAAAGCCCCTGCTTCAAGTAGGAAGTTTCTGAGGTGTAGTCCCTCATTAACTCCCGTGCAAATGGCGTAGACTCTGCTGAGCTGAGTGCTATTATAGCTTGTGCTCTGCTGCCAAATGCCATTGCTGTTCCTAGAAAGATGATGTTGAAACCTGAAGTTGGTTCCCTGGTAGTAGGGCATCCTGCCCAGTCAGCATCGACATGAGCGTCGAGATCCAGGATGTTGTTGGTGTTTGCTCTGAGCGTTGTTGGTTCTATGGTGAATTTGTAGTGTTTGGTGCCGCGCAAGTGGCGTAGTAAGTGATTGACTCTCTTTTGTGAAAGTTCTGTAGGTGCTGTGAGGTCTCGTGCTAGTTCTTTTGTAGCATATGCGATGTCTGGTCGTGTGTATGCTAACCATTGAAGTTTGCGAACAATCTTCTGCACCTTTTGTGTTGTTCGTGGTCAAGAAGTGCTTCATCCTTTATTGTTGGTTTGTAGTGGGCGATTCCTGGAGCGGTCACCGTGTTGCAGTTGGTCATTCCAGGCTCCTCGATCATGTTGTCGATGTAGGAGTCTTTTAGTCCAAGAATGCAGTAGTTACCGAGGTGGTCGATGTTTCTGCCAAGAAATCGTTGTGGTTTGCCAGGCTCGAGGTAGCCAATGTGCTTGAGTAGAACCTGCTTCTGGATGGCGAAGATGGAGTCAACCGTAGTCTTGTCTTCATGGATGGCGAAGATGGAGTCAACCGTAGTCTTGTCTCCAAGTACCAGTAGATCGTTCACGTAACAGTCGCGAGTCGCATTGGTGTAGACGTTGGGTTCTCACTTTACTCTTACAAAGCTGAGCTTTTGTAATACTTCAGCCAGGTAGTCCTGCCACGCTTTAGGTGAACTGCGTAGTCCACACATGGCTTTCTTTAGCCGCCATATTTTGTGCTGTTGCGGGCAAAGTTAATAGGTGGCCAAAGGTAGACGTCACGTCGTGGCCCTTTGCGACGGGCGCGTGTAGAAATGCTGTAGAGACGTCGCCTAGTCGCGCGATCCAATTTGGTCGTGAATTTGTAGCGCGAGAAGTGTCCGGAGTGTCGTGAACGTTGGTGTAGAGGCGTAGACGGAGTCTTCGTCCTCAATCTTCTCAGTGTAGCCTTTTGCGACGATTCGGCTTCGCACTCCTGGTCCTTTCTTTCTGTGGACCCATCTTGTAGGTATTGCTTCTCTGACAACGTTGTCGTCGACTGTAGACGCATCTACTTCGTCGTAGACGTCATGTAGTTTCATTTGGTTTGGCTCGTGTTTCATTCCTTCCAGTAGTTGTGCCTCGTCGAAACCTTCGTTGTCGAAGATTATGGGTTGGTCTTCTGAGGTGTCGTCGTTTGTGTAGGGAGTGATGGATGTTCCGTTGGGAAGTGTCACTGCGTTGATTTTCTGTCGTAGTGGTTGTGGCTCTTTGGTTGCTTGTTCCGTTGATCTGATTGTAGTGTCCTTTGAGGTCTTCTGCGCTTTGGTTGGTTGCATTACTTCTTCCGGAGTCAAGCGTCTTAGTGTTTGTCGAGGTGGTGCTGGTAGTGGTGGATGTTTTCGTCCGGTTGGTGAAGTGGCCATAAGGCTATCCGGTAGTGGTCGTGAGGGGCGTAGTACGTTGTTGTTTTGTTGCGGGTTCCACGACGATGTCGTCCGTCACGTTCGTCTGTCGTCCGAAGTCTTGCGTAGATCGTCTCTTCTCTGACGATTGTAGTCGCGCGTCCAACAGTGTTGCAGATGACGGGTTGTAGGTGCTCCGTCGTGGAGCCCAGGGTGTGCCGGAAACTTTGTTTAACAGTACGAGATCGTATTTGAAGTCTGGTTGTAGTCTCCGTACTGTTCGTTCTTTTTGTACGCCTGATTTCGTTGCGACGTAGTTTTCTCCTTTTTCGGAAACTTTTCCGAGCCAGATGCATTTCTGCATCCGTAGGTCTGCTTTTGGAAGTTTCTTGTGTTGTGGTGGAAGATAAAGTAGTGTCTCGCCAAATTCGCAAATCGCTCGCTCGTAGAACCTTCCCCAGCGGCGTTCGAAGCTTGTGTAGCCGTCTGAGTGGATGACGTAGCGCTTCACCGTCCATGCTGCATGTCGTACTATCCAAGGTGGTAGACAGTGCTTCGTGGACATTGTCATGCTGTAGTTGCTCTCAACCTGTGCTTTGACGACGCGCACCTGTCCGAGGAGTGTTGGGTGTAGTCGCTCAACACTTCCTTGAATGCTGCTGCTGTAGGAGGGCGCATGTCGAACAGTCATTGAGCCAACTTTGGCTGCTGTAGCTTTTAGAAGTGCGTTGAGTGTATCTTCGTTGTCACTTTGTAATATGCCTTGTGTTCTTCCGCACTCAAAGGTGAATGCCTGTATCATGTAGTCCATCATCGACGGTTTGTCCGGGACCATTACTGCCATACAAAGTTGTGTAGTAACATCACCTGCTGTCAATACTGGTATGGTCTTTGGGTCTTGTTGTGATTTGATGTAGGCAAAGTCTACTTGAATGACGGGTTGTCGTTCTTGTAATTGTCTTGGCGTCCCTTACCTTGCACGCAAATTGGACACCAATTTCTGTATGGTGGTGTGTCAAATTGTGTTCTGCTATTTGTTGTGGAGTTGGCTGCTGTGGTTGTCGTAGTCCTCTTGCTCTGCGTGCTTCATGATGCTCGTGTTGCTGTTCCTCATCGTGGCTCTCCTGGATGTACTCGTAGTCTTTCTTCATGGTGAACCTTGTTGTTCAGTCATCTTTGCGTTGTGAAACTTATCCAAAGTTGTTGTGAGTGATTGTAGGTCTGTGAGGCTCAAGTGTGCTGATTGGTGGAAGCCCTGGTCCATCTGTTGGAGTAAATAGAGTAGTTCGAAGTGTTGTGTGGCGCCTTGTCCAGTGTTCACCTTGTCTTTCCCAGTAGTCTTGGTTGTCCTCCGCTGTGAGTGGTCTGTGTATTGTCTCCTTTGGTTGTGTGGTGTCAAGGTCTGTAGAGGGTGCTGCTTTAGGTCTCCATGTCTTTTGTGGTGCTTGTAGTTGAGTCTTTGATCTTGTTGGTGGTGCGTCCATTAGCCGTTGTGGTTGTGAGCTCTGTCTCGTTGGTGTTGTCTTTGATGTTGCTCTGCGTGTAGGTGTTATCTTTCTTCTGAACCTGGTTTCTCCAGTCCAGTTGTCACCTTCTAGTCTTCGTTGCAGCTCTTGCTTGGAAAGTTGTTTTGGGTTCTCTCGTGGTTGTTCTTGCTCTTGCCCTTGTCTGTTGATGATGGTTAGTCGCCAATCATCTAGTTCTTCTTCTGGTAGTGGGCAGCCGCTGTTGTGTGGTGTGAACAGTGCTTTGCGTGGTCGTTTGTGAACTCTGATGGCGTAGCCACTATCAAGTTTCCAGTAGCCAGTGTTTCCACCAAGGATCTGTCGCAGTCCTTGGTCTGTGTGTGAGTGGTGCAATTTGCTCTTGTTGTTTTCTCTGTAGGTTGAATCACAGCAATGGACTTTCCATTGTCTGTAGTCATTGGGTAGATGTCGAATCCTGTATATAGGGATATCGATCTTCTCTGCTCGTAGGTAGAAGAGTCCTGAGTGTCTTATGAGGTGTGCTTGTTGTGATCCATGTGTGATGGTGCAGTGTCGTGGATTGAAGTCGAGTCAATATCCTCTATCAAGTAGTCTTGATGCACTGAGGATTGGATACTTCACATCACAAACGTAGTGGGGCATCATGATCCTGAAGTTGTCCTGCTTGTAGGGAACATACTTGATGCCGTAGACAGACAGGAATCTTCTTGTTGGTAACCGTGTAGAGTTGTGGAACTGATTCTCCACAAGGTCGTAGTGGTAGGTCTGGCGCGTAGTCCTTCGGGCAAACATGTACAGATGCTCCTGAGTCGATCGGCAGGTGATGGTATGACTGGAAGTTGGAGTACATGATGTAGTGTGTGATGGTGTCCTCAATATTATTGTTCCTTTGCTGTTGTGCTGCTGAAAGGCTATGTCGAAGTGCAGTTGTGTTGTGTCTTCTTGGAGGAATTGTTGAAAGCTCTTGCTGCGGGCGTTCCATGATGTTGTGTGTGGAGTTCTCTTGCCAAGTAGTGGTTTGGATTTGTGCTTGTGTAGTAGCCCAGCTGTTATCATAGTCGTAGTCGTTCCAATTATCCTCCATGTAGTTTACCTCGTGTTGTGCTTCTTCTCCTTCGTAGAAACCAGTCCCAGGTGTCGTTCACATCCTGACGTAGTTCCTCATTGTTGTCCTGATCCCCTTGTTCTTGTTCTAGCGGATGTAGTTCTTCTCCTTCTCCTATGTGCCATACCGGCACTCTGCAGTCCTGTGCCCAATGGCCAGGCTTGCCACATCGGTGGCATGTCATGTAGTTGTTGCTCCCTTTTCCTTTTGCTTTGCTGTAGTTTCCTTGGCCTTTGTAGCCCTTGCTTGATCCGTATCCTTTGCTCCTGTTGTATCCTCCTTTGTTGTAGCTTCCTTTGTTGCCTTTGTCGAATCCCTTATAGTGTCCTTTGCTCCTGCACTTGCCTTTGGTTTTGCTTCCTTTGTAGTGGTTTTTGTCTTTCCATTGGTGCAGC